TTTACCACTACTGAATTTTCTAAGAACAGTCGGGATGTTAATAATCACTAAGCTCTTACGTCGCATTTTAAATGCAAATTAAGGCACTTTTCATCCGTAAAAACAATCTTTCTTAATTTTCTTATTAATATATAATTATTTATGTACATTTATACATACATATTAAAATTAATTTTAAAATTTTTTTGAATTGGATTTCTAAAATACATTTTTACTTTACAGATTTTGGAATTCTTCTCTTTTTGAATATTTAACCATACAGTTTCAAGATTATTATGGTTCAACAAAGGAAATTATATGTGTGCAGTTACAAATTGAAATAAAGCTATAAAAGCCGATTTCCTGTTTATTAAATTAGATTTCAATTTTGATTTCCTGTCAGTTATGTTTCTAGAATATAAAGGTAAGAATGCGTGCAAAAATCAGTGTCAGGAAATATATTAATAATAAATGAAAATATCGAGTATTTTTTTACAACCCCCATACTTTAGACACAGCAAATGTGAATTAGGAAAACAAAACAGATTTTTAAACAGAAAGTTGAAAATGAAAATATAAAATAAATAAAGATGTAAAGCAAAACAAGTAAGACCACACAGTAGGCAAGGAAAAATGACAGTAGACGACAGCTATATTCGATCAATCATATAAAATTCACATAATTTCAAAATTTTGGGGTTTAAAAAAATTATATGAACTAGCAAATATTTGAAGATTTTTAAATAAGTGGGTCATGCTTGTAAAAACTCAACTCAACTAGTAACTTTAATTGTAGTTCAATAAACGGTGCGAGAAGGAAAATATTTAACAGTGAAAGAAAGAGGTAGTTAAGTCGAAGTTGCATAATTCTTCTCTTGCTGGAGTGCTAAGCAAACAACTATTACTTAACGACATTTTTTTTTTATCATTCTATTAACTTTAATTTAGCTTTGATGTTAATTATTTGATGAATTTTATTTGATTAATTTTATTCAATTCCTTTCTGATTTAATGTTGTTCTATGTTTAATTTTCACTTATAAATATTTGTAAATAGTTTTCTTAATATTTTATTCATTTTATGTTGCTGTTTTTCAACATGAGTTTACTCATAATATCAAGCTATTTTAATTTTAATATACCAACTTATAAGTGTTTGCAAATAAGTTCAAATAAAACATTGTAATATTTAATTCATTTTTCAATTAATGCTAAATCAAGTTTTGTACAGACAAACAGAAAAAGCAGCTTTATAAATGAAAAATATTTAATTTATGGAATCAACACTGTACTTTAAATTATTTTATTTTATGTCTGCCTGGAATTTGTTTTTAAGAATTTTTTTATTTCTAAAAATTAGCAAACTTTATTTAATTTTTTAATACTTTATAGATTATCATGTAATATAATTTTTTAAAAAATGGGTGGATAATAATAATATTTAAATACAGGGATGTCTTTAATAAAATAAAAAATGCAGAACTCATAAGTAACAAAATACTATTTAATTTCTGTCAATTCTTTTTTTATTTTGGCAAGCATAAATATTTTTATTTAAATTCAAACTATGTTAATGAAACGGAAAATCAAGAACAATTTTATTCTATCGCGAGCATTGTTATAACAGCTGAAATTTTAACATTTTTCATGACTAAATATATAGGGAGCCAAAACTGTATATCGATTACTCTATCTTTCATAGTAAATGCTTTGTTAAATATATTTATTCAAACTTTAATTATGAAACCTATAATCTCCTATTTTTCCAAACGAGCATGATAGAACTCTAAATTCAAAATTATACAATATTCAATGGTGCTATAATACAGCATAGAGTTACTTGAATCTGACTATATCACGAACACTGTTAGCCGAATACAAGTGATTAATCAATAACGAAAAGTTCAACTTTAAATTTAACTAGTGGGCCTGCGCCCCCTGCTCGCTAACGCTTGCCAACCCCCCAAAATAGCTAAACAGTCTTATATTGTTTGCTTCGCAAACAAAGCTCGCTTCACTCGCTACTAATTTAGGTACATTGCACTGCACAAAATTCTAAGAATTCAAAAAAATCATTCAAATCCATATAAAAACTTTTTTTTTAAAAAAATTACATCTTTTTAGTAAATACTAAGTAATTAAAATAAATTTGAATTCAAATAAATGACATGTAATTCGTTAAACCTATTAGAAATGTGCTATAGTATAAAATCTTAAAGCGTAACAGCACGACTGAGACTCATTTTTCAATGAATAACTAATAACAATAAAACAAATAAATTCGTTATGCAAATCAAAAATCGTCAAATAAATTCGTAATATATAAATTCGTGAAAAAAAAGCGTTTTCGACAAAATACTAAAATAGAGATCTATCGACAAAGACTACTCACTTCTGCCTAGCCTAAATTAGGCTAGTATAAAATTGACGCAGCTGCATTGTTATTTCAGTTCCCGTTTTTAAAAGCGCTATATGTTGAACCACCTCGGCTAGATTTGGCATGTGACATTTTAAGCGGCACACATTGGTCGATTTTCTGCCGTTGCCATTCGGGGAGTTGTAATGAGGCTTTTTTTTCGCCGTGTAAGAGAAATATATATATAGATAGATTATTTTAGCAACAATTTTGATTTTTAAAGTTAGCAGTAAGTTCAATTCAATTAAGAATGCTTTATTTACTTGATAAAAAAAATTTTTTTTTTGCAAAAACAGTTGAAACCTTCTACAATTTAATCTCTTCTGTCGACCCAAACTGCAGGGAAGAAAATCGTCGCGCTATATAGCGTGATCGGCAACGAACGTGTTAATATGTTTATTGAAAAATATGAAAAATTTCCACACTGCTCCATTTTTTAAGTCTATAAAACACAAAGGGTTAACGCTGGAAAAATATTTTCAGCTATTTATTACGGAAATTTCGTAGCTGTTGGTTAAGTAAAAGTTTTGTAACACTTGAAATTTATATATATATATATATATATATATATATATATATACGGT